AAAATGCAGTCAGATATGACTGTGGGATAATGACTCGACACTATGAGTGTCAACAACGAACTCATGCTTTTGGCCAGAAGCGGATGTCAAAGTTTTAAAAACGCGTGACAATTTTCGAGGCAAAATAGATGGAGAAGTAGAGCTATGTTCAGTTAGTGCTTTCAGGTCAGTATTAGGGTCAGAAGTTGATTGGTACATGTTTCTGGACGTGCAGACAAGCAGAATGCATCGCGTTTTCCCGCAGATAAAATACTTTGCTTGCCTGTCAGGACATAAACATCTGGAATGATTCCGTCCACAAGACTTACGTTTCCCAAATTTTTTGAACCACTGAATCAGAATTACAACCTATGAAGGGACGTATTGATGGACTTGGAGCACGAAAATTTGTCCGAGGTTTGAATATGTTGTATATGTGCATCCTTGAATTATTTCCTTTAGAGTAATTTAGCAACACTGCTCCATCAGTCTTCGTAATGCTTTACATTTTCATACTGGCCACACATTTTCCTAATAGTTTAAATTTGTTGACCTAGATAGAGCGGCAGCTTCTGTTGCACCTTGGGGAATTGAATGCCAGCAATGAGTCTATCACACAGTCCACCTTCTAGTTGGGCACCGTAGTCACATTTAGCCTCCTGCCTGTAACTGTAATGCAAACTAACGAACCAACTGAGAATGGGAGTGCATCAAAATATTGAACCTGGGTCTTTCGGTTGCTACGAAATTAATCAGTTTAAAATCTTGCAGAACATTTTCCCTCAATGCATTTTATGAAATATCGATTGGAGATTTTGGATAAACTAACTTCTCGACCAATGTGTGCGTCGCCTTGCCAACAAAATGTAGAAAATACGCCGTGGGCTTCTCATCATCCGTATCGTATGTTGTTAGACACCACATGTCAAACCGCTGAAAATATTTTTCTACGTTTGCGCAGTTGGTTTCGAATTCCATGGTTGCATCACGGTAGGCACGATGAACTGTTTCAATGGCGACGCCAAAATGTGCTAATTGAGTTTGCAATCGGTACAGGAATTCTTACGTGATTTGAGTGTCTGTGGAGCGTGATCTAGTGAGTGACCGCTACATGTTTGCCTAGCGTACCGCCATCCTATGGTGTCGTACGATGGATAGAGTGGAACGCAGCTGAAAAGTCAATGAAATAAGCAGTGGTGCTGGGAAGTAGGCGCGACCTGCAGTGGATTCCCGGCCCGCGCAACCTATCGTGACTGTCTTCTTTGAGCGTCGCGCGCCTTCAAAAATTTCGCGAGAAGTACAGAAGCGAGGATCTGGACGATAGTAATTATGAGACTGAATCCCTGACAATTTTTGCGTAATGGTTCACGGCTATCAAGGATCAGATACAAGATACGGATACAGCAGGCAGAAGAGACGGAAATCGTCCGCCAAATCAAACGAAAATGTGTTTAGAGGTAGAAGGGTTACGGAGAGACAATAGGTATGAATAACCGAGGAAATGGCATCTTCTCATAGAACTTCTTCCTTTTTGAGACGATTGACAACCGAACTAATCTCGTGTTGATCAGGCGGTTCACAGTAGCTTCTTCGTCTGAAAATCCTCGTGTGTTATGCGTGGATTGAAGTATTCCAACCGCCGAGTTAACTACTATCAGCGCTCCGTCTTGATTTGGCGTTATCGGTCGTTCGGCATCTACCGACGTACGGATCTTTAGCCGGTATACATTCAAGTATCTTTAAAATAAATGGTTTATATACTTTTGAGTGTTTTGAGCAGCCTGGCCTGTTCTAGTTACATGTCCACAAAACACACAATACTGCTGGGTGAACTTTTACAGGTACATTTATGACACTTGCTCATTTCTTTTTTAGTTCCACTACGAAGCTCACTTGTCTAAACTTTGTGCTTCGGAATTCAGAAAATAGAAGTGTTCGTCATGTGAGTACGGGCTCCCTTTTATTAAATACCCTCTACATTACGGAACCAGGTAGATATGCACCTACTCGTTTCAGAGGCATTTGATCTTCTATGGCATTTTCAGATTGAGCGTTGCTGGTTCGGTAGACACAGTATAGAATTTTCGCAATGGCTCACAGATGTTCCGAGTGATGCCTACATCTGTTCGCTCTAAGCAGCTTCATTTCGTTCACCCAATACTGAACAGCGGTTTTATGTACGTCTTCCTGTCTGAGATCTTACGTGGGCTACGTTATCCCGCTCCATATTTATTTGTTCAACCTATATATAATCCCCACCTCTCAAATATTTACAAATCCCAGCCCAATGAACTGAAAATGACGTTCGTTAAGAAGTCTAATCGGTGCACTGAGGGCACAGCACTGCCATAACCGTTTGGATGGCACAAACGCATTTGTTCCATTCCCATCCTTCACTGTACTCTCTCGCTTACCTGTTCGTTAACTCTTAACACAATCAAACTCTTCACCTCGCCCCAGCGGCCTCCAGAACTCGTTTGTTCCAATCTGCTGAGTTTTTCTTTTGAGTTTAACCATTTGTGTGAGATTTGAGTGTGTGACCTCCAGAATATTGATAATGTTCTGTACAGTTCGCGCCCTGGCTTGTGTGTTTTCATTAGCTTGCTCTTGCACCTGACTTTTATACCCGATCGCACCACAACAGGGACGCATGCGTGTCCCTATAGCTTCCATGTACACCACGATTCTATGATTCCAGCTGCCATTCATTCGTGCTGCTAATCCACCTAGTACGTCATTCCGGATGACGTTTTGTGTGATCGAAGCTTGGCCTTAAATGTCTAAAGCCAAGAAGCGTCAGCGGTGGTTTCAAATTTTATTTCGAATTAACCAGCTTGATTACGCCAACCCTGCTACTTCTTGTTCATCAGTTTTAGCAGTTTACACTTTCCTTGTCATGTGTAAATCTAGGTTCCACTTGTTTTGCCTTCCTTTTTTCCGCTTACAACATTGACGTTCAAACAATCTGATCCTGTTTCAGGTAGAAATTTTCCTCAAAGAAAAAAGACAGTAACTGTGCTTCCCTGTCACCGCCTCTTCAAGGGTGACGGCGCTTACATCGATCAACCGTGAAGATTTTCTCTTGTTCGGCCGCGAAAATTCAGAAGCGTCGGTTGAGCAGTGGTAGTAAATCGAAATTGATTTCGTTTTTCTGCGTGCGCAAATATCCGAAAGATTTCCCATGGTGTTTGACCCATTCTAAGAGTTAGTACGTGTGCTTCAATTTAATAATAATAATAATAATAATAATAATAATAATAATTTTTCACCCTAACATAAGCCTGGTGTGGAATTCTCTGTTACGTTGTATTCTATCGCTTCGGTTCACCCGTTGTCAATCATTAGCCAGATCGTCACAAGCTGCTCGCCTCCAAAGCTACCGGTGGTCCACAAGAAATGCAGACAGAGCAATTGTCAACCGAATGTTAGGCATGAAGTGCGACAACGTGCCTACGGTGCCCGGTGGCAGTTTAAATGCGCGAGTTGGCAGGGTGACCAGTTTGGCTAATTATCAAACTCATACGACCAGTTTGTGGGTCCCGACTTCTTCTAACTTTGATACGTGATGCACTCCACAACAAACAAGAAAGCTGGCAAAATGAAACCTGGTTATCACTCATGAGTGTTAAAGATCAGTGGAAATGACCCGAAAAAATGTTGCAGAAAAACTGCACTTCTTTTCAGAACGGAGCGGTCCGGACGAAAGTTAACAATAAAATTTTGCCCCCGGCACATCCATTCTGGATCCGTTGGCTACAGAAAAAACCCTTGGAAACCTCAAGGCAGGATTCAGACAGTTAAACCTCAAAGGCCTCTTTAGACCTCGTTCTTAGACCCGGCGTACAGTTAATAAATCTGTTAACCTCCCTGGTAGTATGCCTGTAGGCTACCCACCTTCAAACACGGAGGGCATAGTGTTGAAGCACTTATCCACCAACTGCCCCGGACGTCCCGACATACGTCACGATAATAAACAGTTTTCTTACGTTAAACAGCGGTACATAATTGCGCTCACACAGGCCATACTCTAATCGGGGATTAGCAGCGCGTGTTTACCCCAAGGCACTATTTTCCTACGAATCTCCGATGCCTGCGTGAGGGGTGATAAAAAACAGATGGACGTAGAATGTGAAGTTGCCCACCATACATTCGATTTAGTCAGCCATCAGCTTCCAGGTTCGGAATATGGAAAACACGGGATCAGATACTGCTGCAGACAAGAAGCTAGGAAGTCGCTCGGGATGGGTTTCGTGGAGGTTTCGTTCAGCGCAGGACCGCGGCGAATAGCTTTCATGGCCTCCAGCAGCGGAAATGTCGTTTAACGTCTTATACATCACAAGTCAACCTTACCGGCTGAGAAGCTATTATTTCCTCTTGAAGGCCGACCACTTTTGCGTCCCAATAACAGACCAGGGGAAAATACGATCCAACAACCTTGGACTCAGCAGAACGTAGGTTGCATGAAAAGAACTACCAACATTTCTTTCTCGTTTGTAACGCTCACTGAAAATTACTAATGCTACACATAATCCAATACTTACTTATGACCTGTTGTAACTAGGTTAGGTCCACAGCGGTTTCAACGTTGACCCCTCTAATACGCACAGGGGATATAGAAAACAGATTTTAAGACTCGGGGTGCGCATTTTTATTGGGCAACAATTTTTGTCATATTGGGTTGTTGGTGGAATGAACTTCCTTCAGCGATTGTTCATGTTGCATCTAGTACCCGATTGAAGGCAAATTAAAACGCTTTCTTATGTGGGTACTCGCGCTGGCCAGCATGCTGCTGGGAACTTAAATATGAGCGCTGCACCTTTATTCGCTTGTTCCCTCCTGGGGAACGGCAGCCGCTCAACGATAACAACAAACCTGATCGGAGAAACTTTGGCAAAAGCTTCGGCCCTATGTATCAATCCGCGGGACCGTGACAGCCAGCGTGATAACAAACAGCCAATGAGATCGCTGAATTTCCAGCCGGCCATCTTTCTGTCGTTGGGTCTGTCGCAGGTTATCGGAAAATGGTTCGCCGCAGGTAATCTCGACAACATTTTGTGCGGCTAACGTGAATAAATCCTTTGTAGATCAGCAAGCCCACCACCAATGCGTAGCAACTTACCAGCAAGACCGCCACCCGCAGCTCTTGCCCACCCGCCACCTACACAACCCAAACAACCAGGTTTGATGGGACAGATGGCTGCCACTGCTGGTGGTGTCGCTGTAGGACACGTCATTGGCTCTGCAGTAACTGGTGCATTTTCGGGAAGCGGTTCCCAACCAGAACAAGTCCAGAGTAGCGAGCCTGCGCGGGTGTCTTCTCAGCAGAACCCTTGCCAATATCAGATTGACGAGCTGATCCGTTGCACCCAAACTCAACGAGACATAACACTGTGCACCGGGTTCTCGGATGCGTTGAAGGAGTGCAGTCGAACCTATGGAGTTTATCCCGGCCAAATGTGATTCACTCGTCTCTCAATACCTGAGTTTGATTCGACCGTGTTGTATCATCAAAACTATATAGTCTTGTGCCGTGTAGCGGAAATGCAATTCAGTTTGTGCAGTCTCTTATCTTGTATTTTATGGGCTAGAGTTTGGTCTAATATTGGTTGCTTTTGTAAGCTGATCAAAATGGCTGATTCGGGACACGCTTACGACAGGGCCAAAATTAAGAGGAGCAATCGCCTCATCTCTATAGTCTCAAGCCTTTTTAAATACAAAAAGGACAGTCTTTCAGCCGTAAAACCCTTTCGGCATCCAGCTGCCATGTCACTCGAAGGAAGCTTGAGGGCTGGGAAACTGCCAGATTGCTCAAGACTGGACGGGGGAAGTGGAGAAGCAGAGGTCGGGTTTGCACTAGACCCTCCGGTCAATAAATTCGTGCGCTAAGAGCTGAGGCATCTCAGCTTAAAGCAGTTAATAAATTGATAACTGGAGCACCATGTGCTAGTTAGGTGGCTAACCATGCATCATATAGCTCAAGTGCTTGGGGAATGTACCGAACGTGCACCCTCGTAGTCACTGTTAACGCCAATTTGCCAGCAGTACGCACTGGTGCTTAACTGTCAAAACCATCAGGGATAAAAACAACAGACAAGAGTGGAAACAGAAAGCCAAGAGACCGATTTTACCTACGAAATGTAATTTCTTTTATTCTGATCCGATGCGAGACGTAAAGGGTGCAGATTAGACACGAAATAGGATTAGCTGCAAATTTGAATGGATAGGAAGTGATTAAAGCACAACTGTCATGTGGTCAGTTTTTCAAAAACACTTTTTCCAAAGCGCCCGGTGTTCGGGTTCGCAGGAGGCACTTGTACAAGATGCGTATGACTCATGGTTTGTCCTTTCAAAGTTAAGAAAACCGTCAATGATGGGAGAAACTAACGTACTCATTTACTTTCGAACGACTAACAGAGCAATTTGGCCCCAGAAATGTATCGGATACACACTGAACCCGATCAAGGCAATCGGTGCCTGGATCTGAACATATCGTAATGCACTACCCGAGCCGTCGCTCTTGACCGTACCCATCAGCGTCTTCAGTTATGCTCGGAGGGTCGGAGCCATCTTTGCCATGATCTAAGGGCCAAGGCTTTTCCGGGAATTCCCTTATGGTTCCTATGCAACAGGTGTCAAAACCAATGCGGACGATGTCGTTGAAGGTGGTAAGTGGTGACAGCGTTTTCCCAAGTCAAGTGTTCTGGATACCTGTAGACACCTAACTTTTACTATACAGCGGAAACACCACCGGCTAGAGAATTCTGCTCGTAGATGCCTTGTTTCGGAGGTGTAAATCAAGACCATTTCAATGTTACGACCAAAAACGCCTGTGTACTGGAGCGCATTGGTTGCAGCAGCTGCATCTTCGTCCATCGAGAATAAACAGAATCAGGAAGTGGAAGTCGCGTGAGGGTAATAGTTCGATTATTTTGACGGTAATTGTTTTCGTCCAGCATAGCATGGGCTGAGTGCTACACGGTGAGTGCAATAGCTTTGGTGAAGGAGCGTGGTATGATACACTACGCTTGACAGCCAAGTTGATGTCAGTGCTACAGATTCTGGAGGTTGGTAAACTCAGTCTTGGCCTTCGAAGTTAGGAAAATGGTTTCGTCTTTCGCCGTCGAAACAGAGAGGCGTATACCACACATTGGTCGGCTCACCTTCAAGTATGAAGTTTGGGTTTGGTCCCACTGATTCTCGTAATGGCATATCTACGAGGCGCATATGGAGCTGTTCAATATAATTACCTAGGTTTAAAATAGCGTTTCTGAGGGATATGGTCGAAGGAGAGCTGTTGGCGTACTGAATGTTCGTGGGGACAGGTAGGTATTCAAGATGGTCATTCCATTGTGATCCTTGATGGTTTCGCTCAAATATTTCCGGGAACCGGAACTCGAGTGATCTTCGAACATTACCGGCTTTCTGGGCCTCCCACATTTCTTTCGCTTTCCCTATCCACAAGCATTTATGGTCGGTTCGTACACTCTCTTTCATTTGATGTCTGACAGTTCGTCGGACCGAATTATATTCGGGACTGTATGGGATATTTCTCTAAGATTTAAGTAGTGCAGTTATTCGGTTTGATATCTAATGCTTGAGTTAGCCTGGTGGCTGCGTCCTACAGGCAACACTCCTAGCACTGTGCTAAGAGGTGGCGTTCTCGTCCCAGTATGAATTCTGATAGAATGATGGAACAGTTGGAAGACCCTGATAAATTCGTCTAACATCCCGGTCTATCAGTCTTCCACTTGCCAAACGACCTGTCCGCACCCTACGGTGCATTGAAAAACGAAGGGAGAAGCGACCCCGGACGAGTGCGAGGTTGGTATCCACAATTGTATTACTAAACAAGCAGCAGTCAGTTATTGATCCGCGGCGTCGTTAACTGATGGCAATATGGTCGATTTGAATTCGCGGCCGGCATGCCGTTGGAGGAAACAGTGTGGCCAGATGATTTCAGCTATTTCGGAAGTTAGTACTGCTTAGAAACAGTCCGTGATCATGACACCCATTCGCCACTGTCCATATGCACTGAGTCCAATCCAGGTCGACCACCTAATGGAGTCTCAGATGCGCTAAGTCTGCTTACATATATATCTAGATCTCTGGCAACCACAATGATGGTCGTCGAGGTTTGAAAATTGATTTGGAGATACCTGAGGATGAGGGCGCCATGTGGTGAGCAGATAGTGCACGCAAAACCGATGCATGACGAACGGAGTCATCAGTCCTAAGTGCTAGGCCTACAAGTAGAGATTTATTAATGGGGTTGGGATGGGTGAATAAAATGTGCACGAAAGAAATTAATGGGGCGTCAGCAGTGACCTGCTTTCGCTTACCCTCCATGCTGTATGCAGCTAGTTAGACGACCCGGCTGATGACACTTCACGGCAGCCGTTGTGGCAATACTTTATCTGCATACGTGCATTTCAGAGTCGTATGTGGTTTGGGATACTGCCGGGGCGCCCACACCGAGAGGACCGGGAGACTGTGTTCGTCAGACCTCTAACCATGTACAACCATGAACTGCACATGCACAAATAAATTCATGCCACATCGGCCGTCACGTGGTGCCATCAGCCGGGTCGCCTTACTTGCTGCATACAGCAGGGCGGGTAAGCGAAAACGTGCTACTGCTGACACCTCCCACCTTACACTTTCACGTTTTCCTTCTTCCACCCTCCCCCACCGAAATTCGAATACTTCCTCCGCAGGTCCCAGCTCTAGGACTGACCGTGTTGTTCGCCTTGCATCACACTCAGCTGCAGCCTCTGCACGTCCGAGTTCAGTTACAACCCCAAACACTTCGAAGTCTGTTTTCAAACCCCGAAAGCCTGTCTATTTAGCCACCATTCGATGTTCGCACACTGAAGCAAGCAGATCAACAGGTGACTCTTGCGCGTACGCTGGATTCCCTCTCTATTGATGTATGTTGTCTGTCAGAAACAAAGATGCAGGACGCAAGTACTGTGATCGAACTGACTGCCCCCTCGCTCTCCTCCAGGTTCCGGCTGCGCACCTCTGGTGATGCAGAGGCCGCTGCAGCTGGATATGCTGGGGTGGGTATTGTACTGAGCGAACAAGCGGAAGCGTCTCTGCTTGATTGGATACCCGTTGACAGTCGCCTCTGTGCGGTTCGTTTGGCAATATCGGTGAGAGAATCTAGAGGAAGTGAGGTTCATCGCACCCTGTCTATTGTGTCCGCATACGCCCCAACTGACTGTAGCTCTGAATCTGCCAAGGACAGTTTCTATGACGCCCTAGGTGCCCTTCTACAACAGGCTAAAAGCTCAGATATCGTTGTGGTTGCTGGTGATATGAACGCCCAGGTAGGTAGACTAAGCGCTGCTGAGGCCCGATTGGGTGGTCGTCTTGGTTTGGACACTAGACGCACGGACAACGGAGACCGCTTACTTCAGATGTGTGCCGATCACAGGCTGTTCCTTTGCAGTACGAATTTCCGGAACAGCGGAAATCGCTTGACAACGTGGTGCCCACCATCAAACCAGCGCCGAATCCAAATAGACCACATCGCCGTCAGTTATCGGTGGCGAGGGTCAATCACCGCCTGCCGCTCCTTCTGGAACACCAGCGTGGACTCCGACCACGCACTCGTACGCTGCTGCTTTTCATTGCGCTTTTCAGGTGTGCGAAAAACGCGCGCAACTCGCTTAGCCATTGAGAAGCTAGTGGACCCAGAAGTCAAACGAAACTATCAAAACCAGCTCCTCGAATGCCTGCCGGACGATACGGTGTCGGATATAAACAGCCACTGGGAAAAAGTATCCAAGGCGCTTCTCAAAGCAGAAGCGTTTGTTTGTGGTACAACCCGGCCAACCTCATCCAGGCGTTGGATCTCTGATAGGACCGTGTCCTTGCTGGTGACCCGGCGACAGGTTCCACTTGGTCGCCACCACAACTCCACCCGGCGCATCATCCGACGCCAGGTGAAACTGTGTGTCCGCGCAGACCGAGAAGCTTGGTGGACCCGAAAGGTCGTAGAAATGGAAGATGCGAAGAATGCTGGAAACGTGCGCAAATTGTTCCACTTGATTCGTTCGACTGGTCCTCGGAAACCTCTTGTCAGTGAAACAATCAGGGACCAAAATGGCTCCCTGATATGCAGCAAAGCAGAACGTTTGGATCGCTGGGCACAGTACTTCGAACAACAATTCAGCTGGCCACCTGCTAACCCCAATCCAGAAACCCGGCCTTCAACAGAAAGGTGGACCGTAAATATGGAGCCGCCTTCAGTCTCAGAAGTGTCCGAATGCATTTCTCTACTCAAGCGCCATCGTGCTGCTGGTCCTGACGACCTTCCACCTGCTCTCTTCAAGGATGGCGGTGGATTCCTCAGTCAGTGCCTGTCTAGCCTATTTGGGTTTATCTGGGAGAAGGAGACCGTCCCAGACAACTGGGGTGAATCGATAGTGGTACCCCTTTTCAAAAAGGGTACTCGC